ATCAGATGAGTCCTTTGTAACAGATGCAATCCTCAAACGTGTTTTATGGTTCAATATGGGAAGTACAACTAAGAATACTGACAGGATTTTACATTAAAAGTTACAAAAGTGCACAGCTGAATTATTTCATCATGTTGTTCTATAGATTTGACAGTAATCAGAAAGGAATGAGCTCCATAATGACACAGGAGAAAACTCTGGCTTACCAGACTATGTGAAAACCTGTAAAAAATGTGGGTAAGAATTATTTCAGAAAAAAAAAAGAGAGAAGAATTTAGATGACTACACCGTTTGAGTTTGTATGGTGTAAACAAAGCAGACAGCAATACCAATTAAGGAAAAAATTACAAAATTCCTGAGATGCTTGATACCCTAGTTAAGCCACAGCTCTTGCCCTTTTTGCTTGTAGTCATGCAGTGTGTAAACACAGTACAATTCAGTCCGAAATACCAGAGCAGCTTCTAAAATATCTGCTTTGCCTTGACATCCCGCCAAAATAGTGTCACCTGTGGATCATGAAGCAGGAGAGTTGGATTGTTACAGCTGCATCCCGTTTGGCATCCCTTCTGGCTGTTTAAAGTAGAATTTCATCAATGACAGCTCTGCACTCACTCAGATGCTTCCAGGACCTGATGCTGAATTACTGTCCTGTGCCACAGAGATAAGATAATTCAGAGTTTGTATCTGTGTCTTCTTTCCTGTAGGTTCTTGGTTTGACTTGATCTTTAATCTATGCCCCTAGTTCCTATTGCTTCTCTAGCCATTTTTAGAAAAGCAAATATTACAGAACCCTTAATGTATGTAAATACATGAGACAAAAATAGGGAAAATGAAGTCAGTAAATTCATGCAAATAAGATAAATCACGTTAGAAGATAAAAACATGCACTTACCTGAAAATGAGCAAGTGCCTAGGGCAGCTTGCAGGGGTGTCCTCCTCATAAAAGATCAAATTGTTTCTCTTATCTTTCAGTGTTGTTCAAAGGATTTTTTCCCCATCTTTTTTCTTTATTTATGCCTCTCTAATAAAGAGCCTTCCTCCAATAATGGTATGTTCTTAGAGAAAAAGATAATGAAGTTCAATGGCAGGTATATTTAGATTGGGAATTAGTCCATTAAAATTGCCACAAAGTGAAAGATAGAATAGTTTTACCTGTATACACATACTAATTACTTTCTGAGTAGTATGGGTGTTTCTGTTCTGGGCTTTTTATTCTTGTATGGTGTGAGGGAGATTAACATATATTTATAGAAAACATCAAGATAAATTATTGAGCGGTATATTAACCTTCTGGCTCTGCTTTTTAGCTCCAGTGAGAAAACAAGCATTCTTTTCCTGATTATTCCATATTTATCAGGATTCATCACTTCACAACCAAGTTCTTACAGCTTTCTTCACTGGAAGTCTTCCAGTGCTCTGCATTTTAGAGGAAATCTTTTGACTCTCCAGAAAGTGCCTGTCCTAATTTGTTGTAGCTAAATTCTGTCTTAATCTGCTTTAACAGCAGGCTGACTAGCCAGATCTGGGTTTTTTTATTTATTTTCATCTCTTTTATCATTCAGTCCATCAAACTGCTGCATTCTCAAATCTGACCCCAAGGACTCCAGTTACAATATCCTCAAGTCCTTGGGAATATCTCTCTGCACCTCCTTGGAATATTCATAACACTAAAAATGATACCACATATCCCTGCCTACCAGGTACATAAAAATCGACAGTATTTAGCTTCCAATTTAAAATGTTACAGTTTAAATAGTAAAATCATTTTTTCCCAAGGAATGGCAACATGACAGTCTTTCCCTGTGCCTAGGACTCAAGTTAGCAGCTGGAATGCTGGAGTCAGCGTTTCATTCCATGAGAGTGAATAACATCAGATCTCCAGAGATTTCTAAACTGACCTTCAAAACACAAAGTCTAGCTTCCAGCAAACTTTAAGTAAACATATTTCTCTAGAGATTAGGATCAAAGCACAAGAAAAACATTCTACTTAACTGCGTGGCGCTGTTACCATTACTTATTTATTGAAGCAAGGATAAGCGGTGCTGGCAGAGACGAGATTCACCTTTTTTTGTTGCATTTTCTAATGGTAAGATAGTTCTCAAAGGTTACCCATACTTTTGCCAAAAGTTTTGCAAAAATCTTTATTCTTTTGCATACCATTGCTGCTTCATTCCCAAACATGGTCTTTTACGATGATTCATGGTCAAATTCTGAAAACTTTCTCAAGAAAAGTCTTGGGCAACTTGAGCATTTTACTAGAGGAGCAGCCCAAGGACACCCTGAGGCTTCAACTCTGTTCTTGGGGGGTACTTTAAAAAAGTTCTCCATCAACAACTCTCATCTGTAGAACAAGATTAATAGCTCTTTGCTCACTTATCCATATAGGGATTTAGGAGGATAATTATGTTACAAATTCAGTAGTTATGAAGTGTTACAGTAGTGGGTCTTGTTTGTGCACACAGCCTGGCTTCCAGGAATAGACTGATTTCCTCGGGAAAAGAAGCAAAGTTCAGAAAAACTTCTTTTTAAAGAAAATTACTTGGTATGCAGATTTTTTGATAACTTAAAAACCTGATTGACATTCATTAGAATGAAGGAACAGAGCTATTCTACAGATATGGGAAGCTATTTGTTGATGAGCTCCAATGCACTATAAGTAACAAAACTTTCCATTAATGCCCTGTTTGGATTTTGCTGTTGCCACTTTTAGGCTGAGATGAAACTCTGTCAGGAGCAGGAGTACTGACCCATCAAGGAGGGGATCAGAAAGGTGGTTCACTCGGGGTTATCCTCCCAGGCAGTTCATAACTTTAATTCCCACTAAAAGAAGAAACTAAAATCCTCTGAAAACCAGTTTCAAGCCTGTCCTGTGACCTTGACTATGGAGCCCAGTTAACCACAAACACTCCTTGATTGTGTCCTCAGACACCAGTTTATATTTCTTTCCCAATGCAGAGCAGAATGCGCAAAACTTAACCTTGACTTTGGTCATGACTGTGATCGTGCGTTTAATGCACTGAGCTCTGCCTGGTTTTTATATGTCATGTTCTCTAAATGTACAAGCTGATAGATGTAATTTTCTCATATAAATGGGTTTGTTTGTTTGCTACACATTCAAATCTCTGTTTGATCTTAAGGAAATGGAAGTCCAGATTCAAGCCCTATTATAATATTTTTCCAAGGATATCACATAAAACACATCAGAAATATTTTTAAGAAAGCATTTTTCCCACTGATCTGAGTTCCAGATTATTTTATTTCCTTCCTACACCCCGTCTTGGCTGACACAAATATTTAAGGGCAGTAAGAAATACTGTATATCCATTCAACTCCAAAGATTTTCAGTTTACAGAAGCAACAAGTTTTCCATTATAGTCATTACTTTTGGTCTGAAATAAGTATGACAGCCTCTCTCCCTGCCCCCTTTCCACTGTTTTACTACTACACCTCCCAGAAGAGATTAATAAACACCTGACCTTATCCATTGGTGCCAGTGGAAACCTGCAGTAATTGTTTTTTTCTCACAGCTCAACAACCATTTTGGTTTAGCGCTTACCAAAGCAGCAACCCAGAAAAGGAATTTATACCTTTTTAAAACTGAACCATGGGTATAAGACAGTCAGTGAGTGTATAAAAGCAAAGTTTGAGGGGGTAACTCTAAGTGGACAAGATGTAGGCTTTGTCATGGATAAGAACTACCTCAAATCTTGTCTCCTGTAGGTTCTTCCTTAGGCTCTGCATCTGGTTAAGAGAAACTAATTTGCCCTGTTATTCAAAGTGCAAAAATTTCAGCTGCCCAAAGTCACTGACATGTAAATATTTTAGGAGATCTTCCCCAGCTGTTTTCAACTCCTCTAAAATTCATGCTTGGTGCTGGCTGCAGCTACACCCATTAAGTTTAATGAAGAGTGCAATCCAACGAGCCCAGCAGATGTTTGTGGGGTTGCTTCACTATGAACTTTCTGGCTTCTTCTTCCTTCATTTCCAAGAATTAAGACCCAATTTTAGCAAGTGATGATAATCCAATCAGCAATTAGAAGACTGAAATAAGTCTTCACCTCTAAAACCCTTAAAACATTCACTATTGCAAATCTATAAGCAGCTGAGGTTTGGATGCTTGTACAAAGCTCTTATCCCTGAAAAACTGAAGGATGGGAAATTCATACAACTGACTCTCAATAGATTTGTGGTATTTCCTGCACTTGTCTAGCACAGAAATATAAACTATCTCACATTATTTTGGTACTGCCAACATGGAATCCGGCAATAAAGAAATATGTAAGAAAAAACAATCTTTTCAAATAACAACAAGGGAAACTTTCTTTGAGTTCTGATTTTGTTTGACTTATGATTTAGTACATTTTTCTTTATATTTTATTCTTCTGCTCTCCAGGGGTATTTGTGTGACCTTACAATGCCACCACCAAATATTAGCAGCACAGTTGCAAAAAACAGTCATATATCCTGGAGTCCCTTGTCTTCCTTTTGTTGGGTCAGGTAGATGTCAGGGTATTTTGAGAAGAAAGGAAGGAGCAGAAAGACAGGAGTATCAAGAGAAAGTCAGGAGCACTCTACAAAGTGCTTCTTCTCTTTAGGCTTTTAACTCTGCAGTTGGTTTCATTTTTGAATTATTGCCTCTATCTCTATTACCTGATTTCTGGATGAAACATATCTCAGAATCCAGTACATAATGCTCATAATGCCAGTAGTTGTACGTAGAGAATGTTAAGATGGCTTCATCTTCAGGTGTCTGACCTGAAACAGTGTTAGAATAAGCTGAAGCAGCTCTCTTGCTCCCCATCATGTAGGTAATGCAATTCTCAGTATATGTTGTTAAAGGCTACCATTTTATTGTAGAACAACCCAGCATTAAGAAATCCAGGGTACTGCAAATGACCAGGAAATGCCTGTCTAACTTCCACAGGTAATGCAGCATTATTTAGTATTTGAGCGAGCAAATGGTCATGCACTGAATTACACGATTTTTCCATCTTCTGCAGATCACGTGGAGGGCCCCAGCAGGATGACCAGCAGTCACACAGACTGTCATTTCTGCCTGCAGTCTCTCCGTGGCAGGAAATATGCACTAAGAGAAGAAAACGCTTACTGCGTTCCGTGTTATGACAGCCTGTACGCCAACCCTTGCGAAGAGTGCAAGCAACCCATTGAGTGCAACTCCAAGGTAAAGATTTAGCCTGCACTTTTTGTTCCTTGTTAAATTATACACAAATCAAATTTCTTTAATGGCAGATTTCATATCCACCCCTTTGCATATCCCTGTATAGCTGAAGAGACTTAAGCATAGCTGTACAGTAGACTGAAACAGCACTATTTTCCCTGAATAGGAAAGCTCTGGGATCAAAGATGAGGAAATCTGCACATGCATATACCCCAAGCATACAGCAAGGCTGTGGTGTATGTGTGGACCTCAGCTAGGCTCCATCCTTCACCTCCAGTCACTGGCTGCAGAGGCTGCACAGTGCTGGAGGGGTGATAGGGTGGGTGGTATAATTCAGTGTATCAGGTTGATTGACACCTTGGAATTTCTGAGAGATGTTCATTGAAAAAATATTTTGAGCATTGAATAAATTACTTTTACTTTAGGTGTTGACAAGCAGATGCCAAGCTGAGAAAACAAGTTTATAATTTGCATATTCTCTCTCTTTTGGAAATGAAGTATTTATTAATTTCTGCTTAATTCCATGCTTACCTTGATCATCTCACAGATGGTGTATTAGGGCAGTGTTTCTGACCTTGTCTTTCCTTTCACTGCTCAATTTTTTACAATATTAATTAATAATTCAAGTTCCTCTGTGATCTTTGACAGCGTTTCTAGTAACCCATATTCAATTTAGAGCATGTATACTTGACTTTGAATTTTAAGGTCAAATGAAACCTATCAAAAAGCATTTGTCTTGCCAACTTCAGTATGTATTGGTCACCTTCTCCCCATGCTCTCTTTGCCTATGTTCCTTAGAAATAAAAGGACAGAAAGTTATTAAGATAAAACTCTTGAAAGGCTTTGCCAGCTCAGGCGCTTCAATGCATATTGTCTGAGCACAGGAATCATCCAAGGAAAATGCTGATTTGGGTGAAGACAATCCTCAGACTCTCATCAGCATTTTGCCCACAGCAATGTTGAACACATAGCACCAGTCAGGTTCACGGGGAGAACACACATGCTTTGAGTTCACTTAATTTCACCCTTAAAATCACAAATTAAATAAGTGACAGGATTACTAGAGTAACATATATATATATATATATATTACTGAAGATCATAAACAAAAAGCCATGTCTTTGGAATGAGTGGAAGGAAAAAATGGGAGAAAAAAAGCAGACATGGTAAGAAAGGAGGGCACCTTGCTAGAGACATCTAGAAAAGTGGCACACAGAGATCTACAGTTGATTGTCTCACCTCTGCCAAGGGGCTAGAGCTTGGTTTCCTTCCACTCCTCACTTTGACTCTGGCTGCTCTGGGCTGACAGCCTAGTTCCTGCAAGGTTCAGAATGCTAACTAAAGCAAAAGAAAGCCATAAGTGTTCAGTACCTCCTGAAATGAAGCATGGTATTTCTTTCATTTTTTAGCTCTTTAAAAGGCAGGGACATGATAAAGGAGAACAATGAGATTGGATTTGTGCCCTTTTATGTTTCTTACTTATAAAAGAGCCCTGGAAGGGTTTATTTTTTAAGCTGGGAGGGTTTTTTAGAGGTGCATTTTCCCTCGCTTGGGAAAAAAAACCAAAACTGTGGAAAAATTAAATCTTCTGTTTGATATTTTAATTTTTTTTTTTGTCAGGATCTCATACATATACTGTTAGCTCTTTCATCCCTTAAGCCTACTGAGTCTTAAACAAACATTTTTTCTGCCAAGTTTTCAGGGAGATTTATATCAGATGTAAACAAAACCAATGATTTTTTAAATCTTACTAATAATCATTTGTTCTCAATGAGATTTTAATTGATTGTTTTCTGGCTTAATTTAGCATTATGTTATGTCAGCTGGAAGAAGAAATAGTGACATTGAAAATACATAAGGTTCATTTCAAATTCCATAGAATATTGGCTTCCTCTCCAGTGGTCTGTGCACATTAAAAATGTTGATCGCTTGTTTCCCCTTGAAAGACAAATGTAATATACAACATGATTCTTCCAATAAAAACATACCTCTATATATAAAGAATTGTTATATAAGGAAGGATATTTGTAATGGCCTCTGCAAAAGATAGACACAACAGTGTGACATTGAGTACCTACACCTTTCCTGAGCACACTTCTGGTTGGATCCACCACTGCACTGCTCTATGTTTTTTGTTTTAGTTCTGGAAGGAACTGAAGGATAAAAACACTGTAAATAAATTTTTTGCATTGTTTGCATTAACATGAACTTACTTTTTCCAAGGATCTGGCCTACAAAGGCCGCCACTGGCATGAGGGGTGTTTCAGGTGTGCCAAGTGCAGTCGCTCACTTGTGGAGAAACCATTTGCTGCCAAGGACGAGGTCTTGCTGTGTACCGAGTGCTACTCTGATGAGTATTCATCCAAGTGCTTTCACTGCCAGAAGACCATTATGCCTGGTAAGACAACAGGGGCCCTTTGCTGAGAAATGGAGCCACATTTTTTATAATAACCATCTCCTGGAATAACCAAGCTGCAAGGTCCTTGACTTTCTGAACAGCTTTGAGGCGACTACTCTTCTTTTGTGTGTAGCACTCTGCCAGCAGTGGGGAGAAGGCAGGCAGAGACTTCTGATCTGTCACTGACAGGTCTTATGAATCCTTATAAAAATATTAAGAGTTCAATGCAGGGTAAAATGTGTTCATGTGATGTCCTTGATTCTGCTGCAGTTCTTAGGAAGCATATCCCGCTGTGAGCATAGGTAGACAAACGAGCTATTGTGAGCAGGAGTGCCAGATTAGACAAGTCATCTGCATGTTTTCCACATTGACTAGACCTTGTGCTTTTGGTCTTTACACTAGTGCTTTCACTCAGAACTATTTTTCGTTTAAATTATCAAAACATTATAATTTGCCTTCAAATCATTACCAGCATTTTTCCTAAAATGAATACAAGCCCATTTTACCATATTGTCCATGTTTACAATAGGCTCACTTCCTGCCATTAGCAATCTTGAAAATTCTGCACTTTCCACTAAACTGCTTATCAGCTTTTGATTGTGTCTGTTCAGGCCATGCTCTAGGCTTTTCATTGCTACCACATCAGTAAAGCTGATACAGCAGAGTGATTACCCAAAACCTGCCTCTTCACAGCCATCTGAGAGAAGCCACAACACCATTTGTTGCAAAAGGAAGTTGCTTGCTTCCTTGACTTGAAAGTGTGTCCCTAACTTTTGGAACAGTTACCAGTAAATTTGGCAGTGATGTTGGACTTTTATTTTTCAGTATTTATTAATGCTGAACAGTAAGATCCAGGCTGTGCAACATTATAGTCTTACTATTGATACTAGATTACCCATGTTGTATTCAAACTGTAACACTAGTTTGTACTAGTTTTTACATTCATTTCCTTTTCATTACAAGTAAAATCTGCATTAGTTGAAACAAATATTGTAACAATATAGTTGTGTTCATTTTAATGATTATAAACTGCTTAAATTGTATATAGTTTATAAAAATGTTGTCAAATAGGCGCATCTCACTAAATGTGATCAAAAATGTGCCAGAATACACTCAGGTTTGCATTAGTATCTTCTGGTGTATATCCATGCTTCTTGTTTTGTCACAGAATCTAAATCCTTGCAGCAAGTGCCTGAAGGTGTGAGAAACAGTGCAACAGTGGCATGGGAATGCCAGCCAGTCCCTATATCATTAATTTCCTTCTCCTTAGCTTTCTAGCTATGTGTTGAAAAGACCTATTTGTGAAAGACAGGGAAATTAGCCTTCTGATTACCAGGATAAAGCTGCAAACCTTTTGTGTCTAAATACAATCAGTAGTTTCTCCACTGGCCCCACAATTCTGGAAACAGGTACAGTGGGATTAATCAGTTATGGCATCAATCCTCTTCTTCATGTGGAAAGGATGGTAAAGCACAGCAGCCTGATGCTACATACAGGTAGGAAGTTATGGATGGAGATCCGCTGGAAAAATTGCTCCCAGATACATGTGCATATCTTAGACTTATATTTCTACATTAAGATAGAACAACTGTACACAGAGATAAAAGGCTCTGAAACTCCTCTGGCAAACATTTATCTGAGTAACTTTCTGTCCTTGTGCTGTATCAAAAGCATCTTGTTAAAAGAATTGTTGGTCTAGGACAAATATAGTGAGCTAGAATGGTAGAAGGCAGTGTAATGTGCTGTATCACAGAAAAAATATTTGCTTTTAGAAAGTTGCCAATTTAAACTGATTAAGATAAATAATGCTTTTATAGGAGAAGGAGCCTTAGTTTTAAAAAAAGACAGAAAACAGGACAATAATAAACGTACTAAACATCCAATAAATTAATTTCTAATTTATAAAAGTGCTATCTGAACATTATCATTGAGTTGGCTGGTTAGAGAGAAACTGAGCTCTTCAAGCATAATCACAAAGAAGAAACCCCAAAAGATTCATATAAGAACAGTCTCTAAAAATCAGCGCTTAGGCAATTCAGCACATCTTTTACCAGATGATTATATGGCACTGAATATGTTCTTGAAATTTCAAGCGCATTCTTAGAAGCTGTATTAAATTGAAGGTAACTGTTTTCTTGGGTAATCTGATGCTGAGGTGGAAGGTTCAAAACAAGAACATTCCCAACATTTAAAACTTACAAGGCCATATCCGAGGGGATTTTTCACTTTGGTGTTTTTCAGGTTCACGTAAAATGGAATTTAAGGGAAGTTTCTGGCATGAATCCTGTTTCGTTTGCCAGTATTGTCGGCAGCCACTGGGAACAAAGCCATTAATCACCAAAGACAATGAGAATTACTGTGTGCCCTGTTTTGAGAAGCAATTTGCTCACCATTGCTACGCTTGCAAGAAGGTAATTAAACATACAATGCAAAAAATGCCCTAATGAGACAGCATTGCTCACAGGAGAAAGGGCTGGATCATGTGAAATGTTTGGTGTAAGATCAGAGTCTTCCCATTGACACTGGATACTGAAAGCCAACTGTGACAGTGTCTGCTGTCCACTCTTGCTAATCTAAGACAGATAATATCTGAAATAAACTTATTTGTCAAAACAAATGCTTTGGGCTTCTTTAGTTATTGGTTGTGATTTTTAACAAATGTTAAATGGAAAGTTATATAAAACCCTTCTCTCCTGAAAATTTCTAATTTTGCCTTGGTAAGGCATACGTCGCTTTCCATAATTTTTTGCATGTATTCATATGCATGATTAGCTTGAACTGAGCAAATCATTCACAATCTTGGCTATTTTTTCTTGAAATGTATCAGGCAATTAGCAGATCAAGTAACATTCAATTTTGATAACACTAGTCAGGAGTCCCACTGAGGCAACACATGATGACACCCTTGTGGGTACCAGAAAGCTTGATTTGATTTCTTTTTTTCCCTAGGTACAGATAAATCAGTTCTTCCCTCCCTCGATTTCTCACGTTTTAAGATTGACTCTTGTTGAAGAAAATACTCAAAGAATCATACTATTCTAGTGTGATACTTTTCTCTAGGCAAATGTTTTGGGCTGCTTTTTATGGCAGAATTTTTTATGGCAGAATTACTTATTCTTTAGTACCTGCATCACTCTGGGAGCATTTTTTTTTTCACTTCATCAAATAACTTATAATTTCCTGTAGTTATGTAATGATTACCTGTAAACCTCTACTCTAATAAACACTTTTAATTTCAGGAAAATAGGCTGCCTACTTTTTTCTTCAGTAGTTAAACTTTAGAAAGTACTTTAATATATTCCTATGTCTCTACATCTAGCCTTTAATTTGCATTAAATGAACACATGACGATTACAGTAATTATGCTTGATGCTTATTACAGGCGTTGATGTGAGCACCTCCTACATGAAATAATCAGGATTTGCTTCTTAAAAATTCTAGGAATGCAAATAGTCCCCCTACATAATAGCTAAAACCATTTTATTTCTGAAACTTGCATCAATACATACATGAGAATTGAGCCCAAAGTGATTAAATTGCCAAACAGAAATTTCAATTTTTGTCAATTTTTGTCAGTAAATTTTAGATTTTAATGGAAAAGCAAACATAACCACAAAGTAACCCAAAATGTTATGCAATGTTAAAGGGATCAGAAACTATTTAAACTCTTTATTGCTTGACATGATCCAATATTATTCTTTATTTTTCTGAAACGGCATTTCTCAGGGAAATTTGCTGATACCACTATTTTTGTTTAAGTTTCTTCAACTTTTTCTTCTCCTGCTCCAAGAGCATTCACTCATTCATTCATTCATTCATTCATTCATTCATTCATTCATTCCCTGTCATGCATGTGACTTGATAGTAGAAAGGCTATCTTACTGCTCATCTTTATAGAAATTTCTCTGTACAGTCTCTCACAGCTTCTGTGAAACCAGCTCTTTACCACACACATGGGAAACACTGAACAACTAGAAATTTGCTTCTTCAGAAATAACTAGTGCAGAGCTGTGAGTGCATTGCTGGCAAAGAGAAGTTGATGACACTAATAAACATGATTTTTTTTCTTCTTCTCCTTTCTGTTTTACTTCTGTTTCTTTACTGTCTTTCTTCCTATTTAAAATACTGTTGCAGTTAAGAGACAGCAAAATACTGGTTGAAGATTATCTCAGCATCAGTTCTCTCACCCACTACCTATCATAGAGAATTTTTCCTCTGAGAGCAAGCCTGATTCTAAACACTTATGTACAGTATAATAGAAAAATTTTATTTCATATTTATTACAAATTACAGGTTATACAAGTTATACAAATTACAGGTAATAGAAAATTGAGAATAACAAACCAGTAGCACGTGGAGTTCAACTGCAGATTAGTAAAATGGATAATCCAGATGAAAAAAAGTTGATGTGACCACCCTCTCTTCTCTAGTGTATATTGGAAGAAAGAAAACAAGTGGAAGTACTACTGAAGGATTAGACAATCCTCTATGATTCACACCTTTTTTTCTTTACTCTGTCCTTCTTTGCCAATACATTAGGTTATAACTTCTGGAGGAGTGACCTACGATGACCAGCCTTGGCATAAAGAATGCTTTGTGTGTGCAGTGTGTAAAACTCAGCTGTCTAGCCAAAGATTCATTTCCAAAGATGAGTACCCATACTGTGTAGACTGTTTCAGCAGATTTTGTGCCAAGAAGTGTGCTGCTTGCAAGAAACCCATTACAGGTGAGTGTCATCTTCTAGAGGGAAGCAGACAGAAATGGATCATCGGTCTCCTCTCAAAGAAGACTTTCACTTTAGAAAAAAAACACTAAAAGTACCCCCATCATAATGACGGCCTGAAGGAGTTAACTTATCTCTCCTTATCAGAGAGATTCTCTCTGTGCCACATGTCCTGTATCTTTCCAGGACACACTGATCACACATGTTCCCTAACTGATGAAGAGTTGTTTTATGTGTCCAAAGAAGTTCCTCCATTGTTTGGTGTAGTGTTTCCTGTAGCAAAATTCCTCCTTAGGAATATTAAAAAAGGCTCTTTTTTTTCCTCTTCCCAGAACAGTACACACAAGCCCCTCTGTGATTTCTTCAGGTTTGTTTTTAAATGCAAATGTGATCAAACTGAACACAGATTAACTGCTTGCTGGTAAGGCACATCTGTCAAACTAGAATGCTTACCAAGTGCAGCAGGGCTCTGTTTCATGCATCCTCGTATACTTACATATGATTTATAATTAGACATGAATGTCACTGGTCAATGTAGCTGAAGTTTTCTGAGAGCATTTGCTGGTCTTGTGCATTTTAATCCTATTATGTGTGGAGTCAACTGTTGAAAAATACTGCCTGATTCTTACAGGTGCTTGCTGCATATGTCATTGGACAAAGAAATCAATACCCAATCACATATGCATGATTTAAAAAAACCTATTCAATAACAACAACAAAAAAACAACATCAAAACTATTCCAACTTCCCCAGTCCTCAAGATTTTATTTCAGATAATTCTTCAAGGAATCCCATTATCTGGTAATTTCCAAAAGAATCCATCTTGAAGAAACTTAATTATTAAATTTCATCCAGAGTTGCATAGAAACTATATATTTCAACACATTAATAAATAAACAAATAAATTTCAAGAGAGTTTGTCAGGAAGATCAGCAAACCTGAATGGACATTCTGATAAGCCCATTGTGTGCAGAACTCATAATGGGATATGCTTGTAGCTTTGCTTGAAATGTTTCCCACTGTTTAAATTTCAAAGTTATTTTTAAATTCATCTACTAAAGAATATTTCACACTATGGATTTTTTTTTCATTTTTCCATTTGCTCTATGAATGACAAGCTGATTGCACATCAGAAAGTCATCTGTTGCATTACTGAACCATGTCCAGAAACACTGGATTCAGATCTTCTTCTTTTTTCATACTCTCTTTCAGCTCTTGGAGGTGCCAAATACATCTCATTTGAGGAGCATCAGTGGCATGGGGAATGCTTTACCTGCTCGAAATGCTCTGTCTCCCTGGTGGACCAGGAATTCCTCACTCGGCAGGATGACATCCTTTGCCACAAATGTGGCTGTGCTTCATAGTTCTGTGGAAAGCTGTACAGCTGCATTGTTCTCACTCTGTAACAATGCAGTCCATTGGTTTGCTGTAAGAAAACTAGATTAAAGTTGCTACAGTTATTTAGTCATTCTGGTAACTTTCCAACAGCAGTTTAACGCTATCATAATTTTTCAACAGCTTATAAACAAAAACTAAACAACTGCCCCATACTGGTTAATAAAATGATGCAGAAAAGATCTGTATGTATTTTAAGCCTGACTCCAGTATGTTTTGCTTGTAACACACTGCACTCTGCTGTTAGAAGCTTAAAAATTTACCTTTTATCACGTCTGAACCAAGAGGGATTATGAAAAATCTGTTTGGCATATGAATAATGATGAAGAATTAGCACTGATTCACAGATGCAGATCTTGGCATGGATAGCTGGGCACAAGCATTTTTCTCTTGGATCAGGACATTGAAGAGAACACCTTGTAAATATTATACTCTTCCATACTTTGTGCAAAAAAAATGCTGATAAAACAAGTAGAAATTGTGACTAGGAGATGCTTTCACACTGAGGACCACAGAGTCAGAGAGGCCCATTCCAAGGGCAAATTCAATGGAGAAAAGGTCACTTTCCTTCACTTACTGGGATTACTACCCAAAGAAGTCACCCAGAGCACTACAGCACAGGTCCTTTTCCAAAATTGGGTGACTGTACTTAATTTTTTAGGCATAGCTGCTCTAGAACATAAATAAACCCATATTTTCAGATATTGCAAGAGGTAAGGATTGCCCAAGATTGAATAGTGCTGATGTACATTTTCCCATAACTAAGATGCCTTAAGACTCTGTTTCTACTGTCTTTGCTATACCTTCAAATACAGGCCTAAAATGTGGTTTTTCATTAGTTGACACAAGAGCCATCTCATACTGGTCAATTTAATCTTGTATTTTCCTTCATTCAAAACCTCTTTGCCAGCAATTGAAACCCTGTTAAGGACCTTTCTTACCTGCTTGGTCTTTGATTCACAGTTCATTCCTCTTCTTGTAAATTCCTGCATGTGGACAGCAGGCTATAAATTCTCCAGAACCAATTCCTGATTAATTTCACCATTATGTGAACACATTCACATGTGTTTTTTAACAGCATGTCAAGAATTAGTGATTGTCACTGCCAGCCAGGCAGCTCTTGCTTGCAGAACAGGGCCTTAGTTTCTGGGTAGCCAGCCTTTATAGCTGCTTGCTCAATGCAAGCCAGCCCTCAAATGTTTACTATTAAAGGTCATCTAGAGCTGAGTTACAAACATCTATCTTTTTCCTTCTTCCATAGTGTGTGTTACAGTGGCCTGGTTGTGTACTGGGCCGTTGTGGATGGAGCAGGGATGTTAGGAATGGCAGGTTGTGCACTGTCCAGCAGAGTTTGAGTCCTCATCTTGCATGTCTTTAAGTCATTCTTCTTTAGACTCTGATCTTGACTGCATAGAGTTATTTGGCTGACTTAAGTGGCCTTCATTCATATTGAAGACAGCCATTACTTTAGGTAGAAAAGTAAAAAAAAAAAAAAAATGTGCATGGCTAAACCATGCACAAAGCCAAATTGCAGTGGCATAAAATCAATATGGATAATGACTGACCAATTAGTATATAGCAGTCTGTCAATAAAATATTGATCTTTTGCTCTATGTGGCGTTAATTTTTGGTTTTCATTTTCTTCTTTCATGGCAGCTTTTATTGCAATCTTGAGTTTGATTAGTTTACATTTTTCATTTTATCTGAGTTGCTTCCTTTTCTATTTACACATCTCCCATGGCTGACACAGGTTCTTGGTAAGGCTTAGATTCCCATAAATAGAAATATGTTTCATTGCCTTATATATAAATATAAATAAATAAATAAATAAATATATATATATATATATATATATATATACACACAAACACACAGACATAGTGGTAGTTATGTATGATGTTGTAAAAGTCTGCACTGAGCTATAAGAAATAAGTAAATGTTAATGGTCTTAAACTTTTTAATTAAAATGATGAATCACCATATTCAGTCTTGTCTGTGGAGTATACCTTTTGTTTGTTTGTGTGAAATAACATTCAGCACATCTCAAGAATGTGGTTTGGGCCCTTTATTCAGTCTCCTTTGAAGAATCATACATCTTAATTACAAACTGAAGCAGGAATTACCAGGCAGCCTCCTAAGACATGACAGAGTCACAGGTCAGACACACTGATCATGATAATCCCAGTCTTTCCAGCCTTAACATTTATGAAAATGAAATTCTGCTCTGACTCATCAACTAATTATATTTTTAGAAATACCAACAGAATTATTTATTTCTTCTGCAGTAAATGCAGTACAGTCAAATCTAAAACTGAGCATTTTCACTTCAGAATAATAGCAAGAAATAAATGTGATCGCTATAAATAGTCTGAATAAAAGTTATATTAGATAGCAAATTGCTATTTCCTAGTCTCTGTCACCAGCTACCAATGCCTGGATATAAGTACAGTGATACTCTGGTGGTGAGCTGACCCTGGCTGGATACCAGGTGCCCACAAAAGCCCCTCTATCACTCCCCTCTGCAGCTGGACAGGGGAAAAGAAACACTGCTCAAGGCTCATGGATGTAGACAAGGAGAGAGACACGTCTCAGCAATTACTGTAACAGGAAAACAGCCTTGGCTTGGGGAAAAATAATTTATTACCAATCAAATCAGGGTGAATATTGAGAAATAAAACAACATTTTAAAAACATCTTTTCCCCATGCCTCCTTTGTTTTCGGGCCTAACTTGACTCTGGAATTCTCCACCTGCTTCCCCCACAGTGATGCAGGGAGACAGGAAATTAAATGTGGGCTGTGGTCAGTTCATCACACATTGTTTCTGTTGCTCCTTCCTCCTCAGTGGGAGAACTCCTCACACTCTTTCCCTGTTCCAATATGGGATCCCTCTCACAGGAGACAGTCCTCCATGAACTGCTCCAATTTGAGCATCTCCCAAGGCTATAGTTCTTCAAACACTGTTCTTGTGTGGGACCCCTTACATGGAGTGCATCCCTTCAGGAACAGGCTGCTCCAGTGCATCTCCCATGGGGTCACAAGTCCTTCCAGGAATCCTGTTCCAGTTTGGGCTTCTCTTTCCACAGGTCCACAAGCCCTGCCAGGAGCCTGCTCCAGCACAGGCTCCCCACAGAGTCACAGTCTCCTTCAGGCACCATGTCTCTGGCATAGGATCCTCCAGAGGCAGAAAGCAGATACCAGTTCCACCATGGACCTCCATGGGAATCTGCTCTGGCACCTGGAGCACCTCCTGGCCTTGGTGCCTGCAGACCTGTTTGTTTCTCTCACGTTCTCACTCTTCTCTTTGGCTGTTGTTTCCACAGCCATTCTTCTTCCTCCCCTCCCCACCCTTTTCCAATCTGTTATCCCAAAGGCTCTACCACCATCCCTGATGGGCTCAGCTATGGCCAGCAGTGGGTCCAACCTGGCCAGCTGGCTTTGGCTCTGTCAGACACGGGGAAGCTTCTGGAATCTTCCCACAGAAGGCCCTCCTGGAGCCCCTTGCTACCAAAACCTGGCCACACAAACCCAAGGGAACCCTGCACAGTTTGGGTCTTTTATACCTTTTGTAGATGAAACCAACTCGAATAGGTGCAGAAAGGGCAGCAGGAGGAGCAGTGTGTCTCTGTGGAGGACTGCAGATCAGGAAGGGGACAGGTGGCCACTATAAGTGATGAGACTACATTTGGTTCAAGAATAAAGGCAACTAAACTCCTCAGCACTGGAAACTGGAAATTAGAAGGTGATGTCTGCTGCTGAACAGTGATGCTCCGGGAGAGCCTCTTTCCAGAACAAAAAGGGAAAAAGCCATGTAGGCAGTTTTAAAGTGATGCCTGATCTGTGTGTTAAGTGTCATATATGACGTGATTGTATAGAAAAACAATGAGAAAAAATCAGCCTGATGATCAGCTTCAGTCTGTGTTGCTAATGTTGGATTTACTGCAGGTTGACCAGGATACAGACTCCAACACAATTCAATTTTCTTTAATAAACTTCGGAGGATGGAAAATTTGAGATTTATTTTTAGGGAAATTTTTATATGTCATATGTTTTTCTATAACATTGTACTGTTTAATTTTAAAATATATCTAGTTCTTCCCTGTGTATGTAACAGCCTAGCTCTAAGATAATCACATTGCTTTTGTTACAACCAAGCTAAATTGCCAAGGTGAAGTGATGTCTCTAATGCCCTGGTCACATCTCTGCTGTACTCATAGTTATCCCAGGGGACCAGGAGGGAGGCTGCCCTTTGGGACCAACTAAGAGTGAATAGGTGCCCTATTACCTCCCTCAATATTTCAGGCTAAAGTTTCAGCTCCTCAAGCATTGCCTAATTGTCAGAGAACTCCCTGAGACAAATGTGCTTAAAATACAGAGACAAGCCCTGAGGTATTTTTATCTAGTGATCCTTCTCTATCCATATTTCTGAATGTCACATTTTTTGCTCTGAGGCAAGGTCATATTATGAGAGCAAGGTATCAGCCTTTTCCTGGACTATTAGTTTTAAAATCCAGGCAAGTTTTTGGTAGATTTTGTAGCGGGCAACACAGAGTAGTTGTGCTGGAACTTCTGCATTTCCCAAACAAAGGCATGCACTCCAAAGTCATGGCTTATGTCTGTGATGAAACCCAGACATTTTTCATTCTCTATCCTTGTGCCCTAGTTCTCCAGAGAGAAAATCTGTGAGCCTGGACTGGGGAAGAGCTAGGACATAGCCTGGCCATGTCAGTGAAGTAGATGTCACACCTCAGTTTTTCTGCAGTGTCTCAGCACATGCAAGTTCAGCAGATCCTTGTACTCTCCCAGTGCACAGGTACCAAGTTTTCTTCAATGCTGACCATGGCTCAAGCATACCAGAGGAGCTTTATGAAGGGGATGGTAATGTTTTGCAAGGAATTCTAAGCTTCCTGGGCCAGGCCTATCACAAGAAGGGCTGATAGGGGGTGTCTGTGGGTGTGCACATGTTCAACCCCAATGAATTGATCAGCAATTTCAGCTCCAAGGTTTTATGAATCTCACGTGATTCTACAGAATAGGTGTAAAGCAGTGTATTGTATCTTAAGAAGTAAAAACAATGCAAGGACAGATAACGATAGGTGAAGGAAAGTAATATTAAATGACTGCCTAAGTGGAAACTTAGAGTCATTTCTGTAAACAGAAAAGTTGGATGGGATCCAAATGTATAGCCAGAACAAACTTGTTTACTAATCAAGCAGGAAAGCTTCAATAAATCCTCTACATTCTTATTAAGAATATCTCAAAGAAAACGTGTGTATGTGCATGCATGCTTGTTCATCCTGGAACCGCCAAAGCTTGAATGGACTGAGAAAACTGGGAATTTAAACCAAAGTACAAAACACCTAGCAGGGTTATAGACTACTGTAACCACAAAGTTTCAGTTCACCATATTCAAAAGTACCATTATCTTGATGAGAAGTACCAGGTACGAGTAGTGCAATACAAGAGATAAAAATTCCAGGTACGCGTAGTTCAATACAAGAGATAAGTGGTTTGGAGGACAGACATGCTTGCACTCAGACATAACACAGGTATGTTATCCCAATGGCAATACACAGCTGCAGTGAAGGATCTAGAGATATCAGCTTTGACCTGGATCATTAGGCTTCTCTTAGCAAGAATATTTGCCTGATAGCATCCACTTAAACCTTTCTGTAGGCTTTTATCTGCATTTTTCACCCAAATCCTTACTGGAGCTTCTTGAAGATGAAGCCAGAGGTAAACACAGTCACACAGACCTGTACAATGCCCATAAGAACCTAGATTTTCTCAGTGAAAACTAATTCCGTGTCAGAAGAACCATTGCACGACATTATATCCAAGCTAATAAACCTTATCTCTGTCTTGACTACAATTCAATATCTGGTTTTATTAACTTGAGCTTCTGCTGTACATCTTTTAGTGTTCTCTCCAGTAAGGTATTCAAAACTATAGGCACTCAACTGATTCACTGCAGATTTTTCATAGCACCAATTGAATTGTAAGTTGTTGAATACAAGAAGCAGCACTACCACCGCATCTCTGAAAAACAGGAGCCATGGATTCCTTTCATGCATAGTGTGTGTGAGGCTTTGAGAACAAATCACATTAAAACAAACAAAAAAAAACCCATTCAGCTCCTTTCTGTAGCCTGGGCACAGATACAAAGGCATGAAAATAGATCACTTATAGAGCAAGCAAAGGATCATGGCCTCAGATGTTTCAGGAACTGTCAGGCAGAAGATTGCCTAGAAAAATCAGAATACAACTGAGCAAGTTTTTGGGGGTTGAGATGTTTCACTCCAGTATCTCAGCTCTCTTTCAAGTCACTTAGCTCACACCCAGCACCTCACATCCTAACTGTCCTCAAGGGCATTCTCATCATTTCCACTTGTGACCAGGAGAACAGACCACTGCAAAAGGATCTGAGTCTGGCACAATGACTCAACCTCAGGAATCTCATGGGTGACTTATTCAAGAGAGGATAGGTCCAGCTGGAGGTAACAAAAGTCCCGCCAGCCTCAGATCATTGTTCACATTTAAACACCAGTGCTCATCTCGAGAGTACTTTCATAGCAAAGACACACTTCAGGTAGGTGTATCCACATTCTTCCTGGA